AGTCCACAAACACTGATACTCTCCCACCAGAGGAACAGGACTGAGAGAGACGGGTTTGTTTGTTATTATGAAGAACATAGAAACCAACTTCTGAACACCACAGACTCCAGGACTGATCATTGTGTCCAAACAAACTGTCAGCACCACCTCCTTTCCTTCTGATTCTTCTGTAAGACACTGATATAGAAACATCCCCACTCCACTGGACCTCCCAGTAACAGAGACCAGTCAGACCAGTGGAACACAGAATCTGAGCCCAGTCAAATCTGTCCTGATGATCTGGATACGGCTGATCCGTCCACACACGTGTCACCTTCTTGTTGTTGTCAGACAGTTTGAGTTTTCTGTTCGCTGTGTTTGGATCCAGAGTGAAATCACAGAAATCTGATGGAGAGAAAACACAACACAGCAGCAGTTAGTCCCCTGTCCACTCTCATCATTCCACTCTTCTGTTTGTCTCACATTTATGTGAGTGTAAAAACATTTCCTTTCACAGCCCCACACCAGCCTATTTCAGATTATTCTCAGTGTAAATCTGGAGTCTATTTCAGATTATTCTCAGTGTAAATCTGGAGTCTATTTCAGATTATTCTCAGTGTAAATCTGGAGTCTATTTCAGATTATTCTCAGTGTAAATCTGGAGTCTATTTCAGATTATTCTCAGTGTAAATCTGGATTTCTCTGGAGTTTGCACACAGCTGTGGAGCACACAGTCTGAGCTCTCACACAACTACACACATTCTATGGGAGGACTCACTTTCCCATCATGCATTGTGTCTCACACCCATTTGAAATAAGCCTGTGTCTGTTTCACATGGACTTCATTCAACACTTACACTTTCTGAGTCCTGGAGTTAAATACTGAGCTCCAGCAGGATCCAGTCTGAAACACAAGACAAGAGTCTGAAACACAAGAGTCTGAAACACAAGAGTCTGAAACACAAGAGTCTGAAACACAAGAGTCTGAAACACAAGAGTCTGAAACACACGAGTCTGAAACACAAGAGTGTGAAACACAAGAGTCTGAAACACAAGAGTGTGAAACACAAGAGTCTGAAACACAAGAGTCTGAAACACAAGACATGAGGGGTCAGTCCGTATGAAATCAGACGTTTTCAAGGAATCTCCCTTATTATTATTTCAGATTTGGCTGAAAAAATTTCTAAAGATTTTTAAATCATCAAATGAAAGAATCTCAAATTTTAGCTCAGTCCCTTGAGTCGTTCCTGAGTTATGGCTCATAGAAATTTTGGGGCCATGTTCACTTTTTCTGAAACCTTAATTTATAAACATGTTTGAGAGACCAGAACTTCAAAAAAAATAGAGCGAAGACGCTGAACATTTGTGTTATAGTAGATTTTTGGTCATAGATTCTGAATCTGTTGTTAAATATTGTGTATCTTTATTAAGGAGAGCACTGTGGGCCACCAAAATCTCAAATTTGGTTGCCGCTCAATTATATATATTTTTTTTCAATTTTTGAGGTCCAAGATGTATTTACTCCAAGCAGATCTTTACAAACTAACTGCTGAACCTGAATATTTGACAGAATGACCATTTCTGACACAAATCTCACACTTTGAGTTTTCATGTGGATGGTGTAGAGTCTCAAATATGTTCACAGACCAAATCTTTTTGGCTCCTTCTTTGGAGCCTCGGTTCCCCATGTGACACAGTTAGATGTTGATCAAATTTTTACAAGAGAAACTTTGTCATATTCTGAATAGTTAAAATTAATAAAAACATCTACTATTAACCTCTGTCATATCAAATTAAATTTTTGAAAATGAGCTCTGAGGTCATTTTTGGTGGAGCTTAGGGACTTTTCCACCTGTAGTTTTCAAAATGTGTCCTGCGCCACACTCTTTTGTGTCGGGTTGGAGGGCTCTTCTCCAAATCTCAACATGCTCTGTTCCACCTTGTGATGTCATCAAGTGGTACTTTTCCAGTTAAAAGCTCCTTTTACCTTTTGTTTAGTAGAAATAGTAAATTCCAGGACTGAAATGATCCAGATGATTCTAGTGAAGGTGTGTGGAGTTTAAAAACACAGTGGAGCACTTCCTGTATCACCACATGATGACATCACAGAGTGTTTTCTGTTTGAGAGAAGAGCTCAGCCTAAATGTGCAGGTTTGTGTGTTAAACATGTGAATGAAACAAAAGACAAGTCCAGGTGTGTTTGTGATGAGGAAACCACATTAGAACAGAGATCATCAAATAGTGTCATATGGAGCTTTAATGCAGCTCACAGCTCTAAGGTTTTATATTGATCTGTGTGACGATGTTGAGCTGAGGCCTGAGGATGATGAATACACCACATTCACACTCAGCATCAGTAACTGGCTCATACAGCACATGGGGCATGAAGGACGCAGCAGCTCAACTCGTTTTTTGTGCTGAATGGACACTTCTAATGTTTGTGATGAGAGGAAAAAACACTTTAAGTCACTTTGATTCTTAGTCAAATCCTGTCCACATGTTTAGTCAAAGTGTCTTTGTGTCCACAGTAAAGTGGTCCATACCTGAGAGTGTCCAGTGTGCAGTGGGGGTCCTCCTGTAGAGCACACAGGAGCTTTACTCCTGTGTCTCCTGGATGGTTGTAGCTCAGGTCCAGTTCTATCAGATGGGAGGGGTTGGACCTCAGAGCTGAGGCCAGAGAAGCACAGCCTTCCTCTGAGAGCAGACAACCTGACAGTCTGAGGACACAGATTATTGGAATCAGTCCATTCATTAGAAACATTCAACCCAAATGAGACAAAGAACAAGTCCCAGATCTTTATGTGACTTTATCAAATGTGATTTTCCAACACAAATACCAACAGGTTATGTAATAATAGTGAAGAATATGAACCCCTCTGACCTGAGCTGTTCCAGTTTACAGTGACGACTCTTCAGTCCAACACACAACATCTCCAGCCCCGAGTCCTTCAAGTCGTTGAGACTGAGGTCCAGGACTCTCAGACTAGAGGACTGGGAGCTGAGGACTGAGGACAGAGCTTCACAGCTTCTCTCTGACAGGTTACAGCTGCTCAGTCTGGAGACAGAAAACATTGTTTATGTAGAAGTTGAATCAAACCATCCTCTGTTAAACAAAGGAGACTCACAGAGCTTTGGTGGAGGCCTTGACCACTGGCAGCAGCCTCAGGAGAAACTCCTCTGAAGCAGAGTATTTCTTCAGCTCAAACTGGTCCAGATCTTCTTCTGATGACAGTAAGATGAAGGCCAGAGCTGACCACTCAGCAGGAGACAGTTCACCTTCAGACAGACGTCCTGAGCTCAGGTAATCTTGGATCTGCTCCACCAGAGAACGATCATTCAGTTCATTCAGGCAGTGGAGCAGGTTGATGTTCCTCTCTGCAGACACATCCTCACTCAGCTTCTTCTTGATGTACTTAGCTGTTTTCTGATTGGTCTGGGAGCTACTTCCTGTCTGTGTCAGCAGACCTTGTAGAAGGCTCTGATTGGTCGACAGTGAAAGACCCAGGAGGAAGCGGAGGAGCAGGTCCAGGTGTCCGTTTGGACTCTGTAAGGCCTGGTCCACAGCTGTCTGATGAAGATGCTTTAGTTTTTTTTTCAAACTGAACTTTGTAGACTTTTGTGTTTTCTCTGAGAGCAGGTTGATCCCAGTGTTGATGAAGGTCTGATGGACGTGAAGAGCAGCCAGAAACTCCTGCACACTCAGATGGATGAAGCAGTAGACCTTGTCCTGGTACAGGCCTGGCTCCTCTCTAAAGACCTGTGTGAACACTCCGGAGTACACTGAGGCCGCTGCAGCGTCCAGCCCACACTCGCTCAGGTCACTCTCGTAGAAGATCAGGTTTCCTTTCTGCAGCTGCTCAAAGGCCAGTTTTCCCAGAGACTCCACCATCTTCCTGGTCTCTGGACTCCAGTGTGGGTCTGTCTCAGATCCTGCTTCATACTTGATGTTCCTGACTTTGGCCTGAACCACCAGGAAGTGGATGTACATCTGAGTCAGGGTCTTGGGCAGCTCTCCTCTCTCTCTGCTTTTCAACAGATGCTCCAGGACTGCGGCAGCGATCCAGCAGAAGATCGGCAGGTGGCACATGATGTGGAGGATTCTGGACGTCTTGATGTGGGAGATGATTGTGTCGGCCTCATCTCTGAACCTCTTCCTGAAGTACTGCTCCTTCTGCGGGTCGGTGAACCCTCTGACCTCTGTCACCATGGAGACGCACTCAGCAGGGATCTGATTGGCCGCCGCGGGTCGTGTGGTTATCCAGAGGCGAGCGGAGGGAAGCAGGCTCCCCCTGATGAGGTTCACCAGCAGCACGTGCACTGAGGCGGACTCTGTGGGGTCGCTCAGGGCCTCGGTTTTGGTGAAGTCCAGAGGAGGTCTGCACTCGTCCAGACCGTCAAAGATGAAGAGCACCTGGAGGTCTTCAAAGCTGCAGAGTTCTGCTCGTGTTTGACTAAAGAAGTGACCAACAAGTGTCACCAAGCTGAAGCTTCTCTCCTTCAGCACATTGAGTGCTCTGAAAGTGAACGGGAACAGCAGCTGTATGTCCTGGTTGGCTTCACCTTTAGCCCAGTCCAGACTGAACTTCTGAGTGAGCACTGTTTTCCCGATGCCAGCCACTCCCTTTGTCAGCACTGTTCTGATGGCTCCATGTGTGTGAGCTGGGCCTTTAAACATGTCTTCACATGTGATGGCTGTCTCTGCTGGGCCTGGTGTCCTGGAGGCTGTTTCCATGTGTCTGACCTCATGTTCCTGGTTGACCTCTGAAGACCCTCCCTCTGTGATGTAGAGCTCTGTGTAGATCTCATTCAGAAGGCTGGAGTTTCCTGCTTTAGCGATGCCCTCAAACAGAAACTCAAACTTCTGCTGCAGGTCAGACTTCAGTTTACGCTGACAAACTCCAGAAGAAGTCCCTGAATGAAGACGACATACAGACCTGAGTCTCAGAGAAGATAAAATGACTGTGAGCACCTTGTTAAATGTGTTAAATGGTCCTACTGCTCCTCAGACGCTCAGCCAGCTCCTTCTGCTTCATCCTCCTCAGGAAGTTCAGTGTGATCTTCAGAACAGCCTCACTGCAGCTCCTCTGCTCTTCATCCTCATCCTCCACAGGATCTAAACCTTCTGGCTCATCTGTACTCAGAACCTTGTGGAGCTTCTTCAGCTCCTTCTGGACAAAAGTGAAGATGTCCTCCTCCAGAAGCTGAACAGACACATTATAAACAACACAAATGCAGTCAGTGTCAGATCTGTGTGAAACAAGCTTCATTCATCTGAACATTTCCAAACTTTAGTGAATGAAACACCTTAAATATGGAGTCCAGCTGTGTGTGATGGTGCTGACCACTGGAGACCTCTGGACCCGGCTGCTCCCCTCTGTCACAGACACACATGAAACATGCATCATTATTATTTATTATTTATATATTGTTCTTATGATCAGTGCTTTTGAAAACTCATGGCTCTGTGGCAAAATGATGTGTCTCTCCCATAGAGCGGTCACTCCTGAGGGACTCACAGGTGGAGGACGCTTCAGAACACTCTGCTCTGTGCTGGAGTCTGCTGGATTTAATTAACAGGAAAATACATTTGGACTTTAAATTTAAATGATAAACCGGAGCACTGTTTTGGACAAATCTCACACCAATGTTTTTTAAATATAGTTTTACCCTAAACTTTAACATTTTAATTATAGTGACTGAATCTTTACTTCGATAAACTAAAGAAACTTTCACCTGAACAGAATTTGTGAAACAATAAATAACCCGTATACCAGATCTAACTCCACATATACTTCTAATATCATGCACCATAAAACACAGCGCTCACTCACAGCTCTCTCCTGAAGAATATTGGCTGTGACATAGACCTGTCACTCCTGAGGGACTCACAGCTGGGAACAGGTTCAGACGGAGGATGTTTCTGGTGGATCCTGAGACAAAGAAGAAAACACACTTCAGTCACAGTAAAACACATGGGACTGTTGTGACTCAGATACAAAGTGTTCAGGAGGCCTTCACCACACACACTGATTGTTGACGGTAAATGGTCCACTGACAGGAAACAGTGTGGAAACTGGAAAACCAGTCAGCTGTACAAGTTGTGCCCGAGGCTGGAAAATGCTATCTTACATGTGTGCGGGCATCTAAACAAATCTTAAATGCCTCTAGAGTCCAGTCATCCCGTCAAACTGGACAAAGATCATATTTCTACTCTGCTGCTGAGGAAAGTCCATCAGGACGTGGGACATGGAGGTCACACCCACATGTTTTCCAAGCTCAGGGAGAAACTCTGGATCACTGGAGTCAGCACTGCTATAAGGAGTGTCCTGTCCAAATGCATCATCTGCAGGAGACTCAGTGCTACCCCAGTGTACCAGCAGGTGGAAGACTTGTCCGCAGAACGACTCATGCCAGATGAACCTCCATTTACAAGAGTTGGAGTTGATTATTTTGGGCCTTTTAAAGTGAGGAGCAGGAGTACAGTGAAGTGGTACGGTGTCATATTTACAGTACCTGTCTTGTACTGAGAGCTTTTCACATCGAGGTGGCACCTTCTTTGGATATTGATTCCTTCTAAATGCTCTGAGGTGCTTCATAGTGAGAAGAGGACAGGTCTGTGACAATGACAATGAGACAGATTTAATGGGAGCAGAACATGAGCTAAAACCAGCCACAGAGCAGTGGAACCAGGCACAGGTGCACAGTGTGTTACTCCAAAAGGGCATCAAGTGGTCGTTCAACCCTCCTGCTGGATCCCACCATTGAGGAGTGTGGGAGAGGCTGATCAGTTGTACTTCAGGTGAGAGACGCAGGAGCAGGACCAGGACAGACGGGAGCGGGTGGGACCAGGTGGAGAGCAGTGGTCAGCTGCTGTGGGATGTGGAGCATGAGACAGACTCTGGTCTGCTGTGTAATGAACAGAAGAACGAAGAGAAAACTAAAAAGGTTGACGTGTGTGTGTGTGAGAGGGGCATGTGCAGGTGGAGTGTTCCAAACACAAACTCAGACAGTTCTGTCACGGCACATCCACAATTCTCTCTTGGTGGTTCCTCTGCTGGTGTGGACTTGCATCGTGAGGCTCCGGAGCTGTTTTATTGTCACATATATAAGTTTTCCCCACAGCCTCTGTGCTGCCTGTGATGAGACAAAGACTGCACACTTTACCCACACTGGCACTGATTTTAAATGCCACAGCGCTCACAGATTGGTTCAGATGTCATCACCATATATGGACTTGTACCGTCCCACTCCAGCCTCCAGCACCAAGTACAGACCCACCTGGACACGCCCCCTCTTTAATGCTAGTGCTAGTGCTAAGATCGGGTTTGTTGGTTTTGTTGGATTCAGGTGATTTTTTGCTTCTCACTGATATATAACATTCATATGTCCAGATGAATTAGAGTTTGTTTTGTAAATGTTTGTCTAAAAAGCATTTGACCCTGAGGTCAGGTTTGGACATTTGGACCAGATCTAACTCCACATATACTTCTAATATCATGCACCATAAAACACAGCGCTCACTCACAGCTCTCTCCTGAAGTTTATTGGCTGTGACATAGACCTGTCACTCCTGAGGGACTCACAGGTGGGACCAGGTTCAGACGGAGGATGTTTCTGGTGGATCCTGAGACACAGAAGAAAACACACTTCAGTCACAGTAAAACACATGGGACTGTTGTGACTCAGGTCAGATACTTCAGGAGGTTCTACAAAGTGTTCATGAGGCCTTCACCACAGACGCTTCAGTACGGCTCATTCAACAACAAACACATCCAGTTTAGATATTTGTAAAGTTTGAATGATGGAACAAAGAACAGACTTGTGTGTGTCATTCTGATTTGAATGTGATTCTCTGTGAACTGTGGACCACTCCTGGACATGTTTTTATTTCATTCAAACCACGTCACCCACATTATATCCAAATGTTTGTTGACATAAAGTGGTGACGTTATAAGGTGTTGTGAGTGTGACTTACTGTGGACCATGTTCTCTTTTCAAATCAATCCCTCCATCATTAGAGCGATCACTGTTGAATGAGTGGGCGCTGGTCCCAGGAGCAGGTCTGTGGACACAGATGGAGCAGTGGCTTTAGTCTGAGCTCTGACATGGAGAACAGTGGTGGAGCGTTAGAGATGGTCCCTTACCTCTGAGCTTTGGGGGGGTGAGTGGTTTTAGAGGGAGGGGCTCCGTCCTCTCTGTGCTCTCTCTGATCCATGCTCTGTTCATTTGCTTCAAAAGGAAAAACACACAAAACATTCATCCCAAACAACACTAATGTTTAAACATGTCACAAATGTTTCTCTCCTCAACACACACTTACATTATTATGTCACACACAGTGGCGGCTGGTCAATAGAGGGCGCAAGTGCACCGCACTCCCTAACTTGACCTAGATAAAGAAAAAGAAAAAATAATAATGTAAAATATCACTTTACAAAGAACAACATGTAAAATATCACTTTACAAAGAACAACATGTAAAATATCGTCCAAAAAGGTTTTTCAAAAACCTGCGTCCTTATTGTGAGTGGGCTTGCCTCTCCACAAACCTGACTCTCATTTGTCCTGAAGGAGGCTCTCCTCCTCCTCATGCCTCCTCCACAAATGCACTCAGTGTTCCTCTAATGAATGCATTTGAACGGTAAATGTTGTAGAACTGTAACAGGCTGGTTTGTTACCCCAGAACCACACTTAGCACCTTCACCCTTCACTAAAGCACTTTAAAACACTGCACTTTCCTAGCACACAGCACTTTTAACATATTTGCACATCACAAAATAAATTGCACACAATTGGTTTTAAAAAATATTTATTGGCTTTCCTTTAACCATTTTTTATTCCTGAGGCACAGCACTTTAATTGGAAGTTGCTTGTCCCTGGAGGAAAAGGGAGACAATAATAAATTACATTTTAAATTGACTTTGTGCAATAAATATGGTGCAATATCTGTTTTAGAATGTTTTAAGTGTTGATGTTTTTAGTGTATTTTATTGTGTTTTAATGAACGGTGTGGATCTGCTTTTACTTACCTCCCCTTTTTATCTTCTGTCCAGGTGTGAAAAGAGTCCCCCGGAAACGAGCTCCCTCTTTTATGGTTCCGGGCTGGACCACGTGTAACATTTTGTACAGGGGTTTTAGGTTAGGTATTTTATTGGTTTATGGGTTTTACATTTAATTGGTGTAATGGTTTTAGGGTTTTATGTATATAGTTGGTGGTTTTAATAGTTATCTGGGTTTTGGGTTGTTTTATGGAGGTTTAGGTTTTAATTTTACGCTAATGATAATTTTAACCATCCCTGTTTTAGCATAGTGGTTTTATCCAATCAGTAGGACCGGCATAAAAGGCGCTTCAAGATCAGTCTGTGTTCTGCTGCTGGAGAGGAAACTGCTGCCTGCCTCCGTTTTGCACCCTGCACTTTTTGCACTTGCACTTTTGTAATCATTGAAAAAACAACAGTAAACTGTGGACCACAAGTACCGGTCTGTGTCTGGATTTGTTTTTTTACCTTGCTCACTGAACCCCAAGCCGCTCACGGTCAACCTACATTACATTTGGTGTCAGGAGTGGTCCTATGCCGCAGTGAGAAGGTACAATGAATACCAGACAAGGTGGAAGAAAAATGCCTGAAGAGCCCGATGAGGAACCTGGGACGACAATGGCTGACCACCAGGGGGCAAAGGCAAGTGGTGTGGAAGAGAAAATGGAGGAATTGGCTGGGATGATGAAGTCACTAATTGATGCCCAGACCATAAGAGACAAAACTGTCAACACGGAGCGGATCCAACAGGAGCAGCGCTGGCAAACCATGGAGATTCAGGTCCAGCGACTCCAGCAGCAGCTAATAAGGATGCAGCCAGAGCGATCTGCGCATCCACAGCGGGTTTCAAGGCCCGTTCAAGTCACGCTAGAAATGCCAACAGAGGAGTACGAGGATGAAGAAGAGGAGGGGCCGCGGTACCCTCACAGGCCATACCGGGAGCCAAAGCTTCTTCCCCTGGCTCCTGACGATGACATTGAACATTTCCTGACCACGTTTGAAAGGATGGCTCAGGTTTGCCGATGGCCAGAAGAAGAGTGGGCTGTTCGCCTGGTACCTCTCTGTTGACAGGCAAAGCCCGAAGTGCCTATGTTGCTATGGACATGAAAGACACAGAGGACTATGACAAGGTGAAGGAGGCCATCTTGTCCAAATATGAAATTACATCAGAGACCTACCGCCGTCGCTTCAGATCCCTGAAGATCGAGCCCGGTGAGACGCCACGAGAGCTGTATGTCCGCCTGAAGGAGCTGTTCATGAGATGGATTCAGCCTGGAAAAATAACAATCCAACAAGTGTGTGAAAAGCTGATTCTGGAACAGTTCTTGCGGATGGTCAGTCCCGAGCTGGAGATCTGGATTAAGGAGCACGACCCCGCCACCGCAGAGGAAGCTGCCCATCTGGCTGAGGTCTTTACATCTGCTCGGAAAGGGACCAGAACCAGCTACTTCGGCCGAGAACCTCACCAGCCCATGCCAAGTAAGTCCTTTGGGGGTGATGGGTGTGGTCCAACCCAGGGTAGAAGTAGCAACAGTAGGCCAGCTCCACCTATCCACCAGTCTCGCACGGTGAGAAAGCCCGCTAGACCACCACAGGAAGTCAGGTGCTACAACTGTAACGAACTTGGTCATACTCAGTACTTTTGCCCAGCTTTAAAACCAAGCATTCCCTGCTTTGTTCTGTACCTAGGCCGGCAAGCGTACAGACAGGGCAGAGAATAGGGCGCACAACCCCAGTGCTTGTAAATGGCCACCGGGCGGAGGCATTGTTAGACTCTGGATGTTTTCAGACAGTTGTTATGTCCTCCTTAGTTCCACCTGAGCGGCAGTCAGTTGAGCAAACTCCACTGGTGTGTATTCATGGAGATGAGCACAGTTACCCTACAGCAGAAGTCTATCTGACAGTTGGGGGGCAAACTTACCTGGTTACCGTCGCATTAGCCAAAAACTTACCTTTTACAGTCGTCCTTGGTAATGATATTCCCACTCTTCCTGATCTGATTATCCAGGCAGATAGTGGGTGCTCAGAGTCTGTTTTAGAACCCCCTGCACAGTGTACTCCGGAACCTGGCAAACCCTGTAATGTCCTCACCAGGGCACAGATAGCTAGGGGTGTTTTTGAGGAGCTGCCCTTTTGTGACGAGGAAACTAGAAGCGCATCCGGTCAAAGCCAAAAAAGCCTAAGGCCCAAAAGAGAAGGGACAAGTTTGTTGGCTCTCAGAAAGGGAAAGAGGAGCTTCCTAAACCCCTTAGTCCTTTGGACGTCAGCATCCCCTCAGACATAGGGGCACTGCAGAGAGAGGACTCTACACTTAAACCCTGGTTTGACAAAGTCAAAGAGCAGGAGGGTGTCAAACAGGCAAAGGTAGCTGCTTAGATGAAGTCAGCTATATTGTGAAAAATGGCATTCTTTACCAGATCAAGGACAAGAATGAGGCACTAGTATTACCTGAAAAGTTGAGAAGTGCAGGTAATGGAGCTGGGCCATGCAGTCCCATGGGCAGGCCACATGGCTTTTCAAAAGACCCTTAGACGGATTGGCAGCCGGTTTGCTTGGCCGGGAATGTTTTTCACAGGTCTCCAAATTTTGTAGTTCCTGTCAAATTTGCCAGCTTACTTCAAGCAAGGGAGTAGCTCGGGCCCAGCTTCAGCCTCTGCCAATTATTGGGGCTCCATTTGAGAGAATGGGGATGGACATTGTAGGCCCCCTGGAGAAGAGCTCAGCAGGCAACCGTTACATTTTGGTCATTTCAGACTATGCCACACGTTACCCTGAAGCCTTCCCACTCAGATCTATTAAGGCTAAACAGATTGCTAACTGTCTCTTGCAGCTCTTCTCAAGGGTTGGGGTAGCAAAAGAAATACTTACTGACTGTGGTACCAATTTCCTTTCAAAGCTCCTCCAGCAGGTCTACCAGTTGCTAGGGGTGAAGGGAATTAGGACCACACCGTATCACCCCCAAACGGACGGTTTGGTGGAGAGATACAATAAGACTCTGAAAACGATGCTGCGCAAGTTTGTCTCTTCTACAGGCAAGGACTGGGACCAGTGGCTTCCGTACCTGCTCTTTGCATACCGTGAGGTCCCACAAGCATCGACAGGCTTCTCACCTTTCAAGCTCTTGTATGGACGCCAGGTGAGGGGACCCCTGGACCTGCTCAAGGACCACTGGGAGCGCCGGGAGCCAGAAGGAGACAATGTAGTGGCCTACGTACTCAAAATGAGGGAGAGGCTTGAGGCAATGGCAGCACTGGCACAGGAAAACCTCAAAGCGGCACAAACCACACAGAAAACCTGGTATGACCAGAAGGCCAAGGACCGGACCTTTACACCAGGCCAAAAGGTACTTTTGCTTTTTACCAACTAGTGAAAACAAACTACTTGCTAAGTGGCATGGACCATATGAAATAACTAAAAAAGTTGGAGATGTCACATATGAACTGTTTATGCCTGAGAGACTTAAAAAGCACCAAGTTTTTCATGTTAATTTGCTGAAAGAGTTTATTGTCCGCCAAGAACCTTCTCAGCAGCTTTTGGTGCGTGCCGTGAAGGATGAGGAAGTGACGGAAAAGTTTTTCCCCATCCCTGCTGCAGAGCCAGCTGCCATTGACCTGTCTCACCTCTCTCCCTCTCAGCAGGACGAGTTAAGGCCGCTTCTTAACCCGGATCTTTTCCAGGAGACCCCCGGTTTTACCTCACTGGTTCAACATCAGATCCGCCTCAAAAAGGAAGCTCCAAAGAGACAAAGGAGCTACCGAATCCCAGAGCGGTTGGTGCCAGTGTTGAAAAAAGAAATTGAACTTATGTTAGAACTGGGAATCATTGAAATGTCAGACAGTGAATGGTGTAGCCCTGTTGTACTTGTGCCAAAAAAGGATGGTTCTTTGCGTTTTTGTATTGATTTTAGGTACCTGAACGCAATCTCCAACTTTGACCCCTACCCGATGCCCCGCATCGATGAACTTCTGGAGCGTGTGGGGAGTGCAGCCTATATCACCACGCTGGATCTATCCCGGGGCTATTGGCAGTTGGCACTAGCATCAGAGGCGAGGGAGCTGACAGCCTTTAAAACTCCCTTTGGACTGTACCAGTTCAGGGTGATGCCCTTTGGCTTGCAGGGGGGCGCCAGCCACATTTCAGAGGCTGATGGACCATCTACTCCGTGATGTGTCTGAGTTTTCTGCAGCCTACCTGGATGACGTGGTGGTTTACAGTCGGTCCTGGGAAGAGCATCTCCACCACCTCCAGGAGGTCCTGCAGAGGATTCAGACTGCTGGACTGACTGTGAACCCAAAAAAGTGTGCAGTGGCCCATAGGGAAGTCGAGTACCTGGAGTACACTATTGGCTATGGCAAAATTAAGCCTCAAGTTCAAAAAATGGAGGCTATCCAATCCTTCCCTGTGCCCACAACAAAAAAGGGAAGGTCAG